TAGAGTGCATGTCATAAATGTGTGAAACAATAGCGTAACTATTTTTTGGGCGTATCGGTATTAAGTTGCATAGCTGCTAACTTCGTAGTTATTTTCTTCATATAAGAATTGATTCAGGCGTAAAAACAAAGACACAAAGAAATGTCTATCTTTGATTTCTTTGTGTCTTTGTTTTTACGCCTGAATCAATTCTTATATGAAGAAAATAACTACGAAGTTAGCAGCTATGCAACTTAATACCGATACGCCCAAAAAATAATTACGCCATTGTTTCACACATTTATGACATGCACTCTATATGCTGTTTTTGGAGCAGTGTCATGGTAAGGCCATTAGCATCATTTAATACTTTAATTTGTACATATATCTGGTTTGTACCTATATATATGCTGTTTTTGGAGCAGTGTCATGTAAGGCCATTAGCATCATTTAATACTTTAATCCTATTTCCATAACTGCCCCCCCCCCCCCCCAAAAAAAAAACATTCTTGACGTATATAGATGCATTGAGGTATATAAATATGTACCATTGGGTTAAAAATTGATAAATGGAAATGAGAGGTATTGTCGAAACAACCTATTACAGGGTCCCATCTTAACATAACATTGACAAAAACCTTGACGCTCTAAGAGAGCGTACACGGACTTGATTATCAGATGCATGGATGTGGTCTTTCCTGCACGTTTTATAATGAACTCTTTCTTTCTTCTATCAATAAAAAGGTTTACTCGTTTTTACATTACATATTCCTTGTTTCATATTTCCTGTTTCGCTCCTARTTTTCGAGTTGGTCTCAACTAACATTATGTTTAAATGCTCGAGTAGCCCCTGATTTTCGTTTCACGTTGATAATATTCCAACTCTGATGAATCAATCATAATATAATCACTCCTTTTACCCTTGGCATGTTAATTAACAGAAATATTTGTATCTTCAAGTTTTTTTTGCGTATTTAAATGGTACATTTTCGCGGACTATTTATTTATCTATGTGTTCGTATTTTAAGTTGAAAATAACATATGCCATTGAGAACTGCTTCTTCATTTTCCAAYACTTTTGATCAGAAGGACATAACTCCTTATGTGTAGATAATATCAGAGYACTGTTAGGAATGCGTCGTTCGTTTATATGTAATGTCGTATAATGACCAAATATGCTCAACTAAGACTAAGAGCTCAAAAGTAAAAGAAATATAAACGTAAAAAACTATCATCACTACGAATAAGCCTGTAAGTACGCTTAGTGACTACAAAGTACGTACATGTCCCATTTCACTTTTTTGATTCAATTGAATAATCTCTCCGTGCGTGTCTATTTTTGATTTAGTTGAAACCGTTTCTTCTCAAGTTCTTTGAGATCTTCTTGTACACGCATGACAACGGCCTTTCTTGCTTCTCTGACAATAGTGTTACCATTTGCTTCCACTGCATCCAGAGACATCAGTGATTTCATTAAGAGCTCTTCTAACACCAAATACTCTTTACCATTGGTTCCTTTGAAGGCCGTTACTTCTTCATGCGTTTGTTTTAGTTTATTTTCTATTTCTTTGATGTGAAACAATTTTGCTTTGTCTGCAGTTTCTGCATTAGCTTGTTCTTCTTGTGCTGTGCTTTGGTCGTTAGAAGTCGGGTACGCATTGTTTTTTTCTCSACTTTGTTCTGTTTCCGCAGTTGAGGATTCATTATCRTTGCTATTTTCAGCTTTGCTTTGACCTGTTTCATGGCAGCATTCAGTTGTTGCACCYAATGATATTTTCACTTCAAGATTTCCATTTGTTTGAATTGCTTCATCCTTTGTYTCTGAGTCGGTTGCCTTTTTCACGATGTTGCTCGATTCTTCTCCAGGAATTTTCTCTGTTTTTTCATGTTGCTTCTCTTCGTTTCTGCTATTCTCCTTACTTGTGCATACTTGCACAGGGATTTGAATGCATGCATTGTCTTTCCTTGAGCTGATGTCAAACGGCCGATCTAAACCGTGTGCAGCCTGTGCACCAGCCACAGGTGCTGATGGGCAACATTGGACTTCGTGTCTTGTTGTCGTACCCTCAGGACCAGAACTCTCCTCGTGTATCTCCTCTACATCGAATGGTTCCAAATTTTCCTCCATAAGACCTGACAGCAACTCTTCGTCATTAGCATTCATAAATCGCTCGACGATCTCTGCAAACCTGTCCCGTCCTCCATGTGGGATATTCCAGTAGACAGGTGCAGACCCTCTTCTCCTAAGCCGTTCACCATTSCCCTCTTCGAAGCTAGGTGATCGATAATAATTCGTTTTACAAGATGCTGTATTCGGGTCTTCGGAATGCCGTCTTTGAAAACTTCTGTCAACGAATAGATTTTTTCCCTCGTTACGTGGTATATCCTCAGGAACTTGGTGGATGTTTGACGCGCTGTCAGTTGAGTCGGATCCTCTTCTTTTATTCCTGAAGCTAGCTTCGTAACCCGGGTCCACAACTATTGGAATTTCGCGGCTCATTGTTTATGACTGCAAAACTAAGCTTTTCCACGACCTCTAAAGTAACGAAAAGGTTCACAATTCAATTTTTCCGTTGTTTTTTGAAAAGTCCCTCTTCAAGAAATAGTTCAAGTCATGAACGCTTTCGCGACGCTTCTAATTTTCTTCTGTTGCGTTGCAAGGTAAATTCTTTTGGATGACGATTTCGTAACGATTCAAGAAAGATCTAGTACATCATGCGTCCTTCACACTAGCATGACTATATCAGTCCCGACATGGGCAAATGAATCAARCATAGCAAGCGTATCCATGACCATAAATGGAACAGTGTTGCAAGCTCTAAGAGTCATTTAAAATATTGGCATTGTAGTTTATTATATCAATTTCACAAAAGGTAAAGAGAATCAAGAGAAGTTTGCCATCAGATGGCACTTTCAGAGAATAATTGGAGAACTTGAATATAGCATACCAGTCCAACAAATGTTGGTGCACAGTTAATGTCCTGCCTCTCGTTCATTGCTTAGTGAGTGGTTGGTTTGTATGTTGCTAAATGTTTCTTTATATGGCCATGGSTTTCAGGTTGAAGGACTGCATGCTGTCTTGATACTTGAATTTACCGATACTTTCATTTGAATACAGTTGACGCTAAATAAACAAATATTTAACTGTTAGACTTCGCGCACTTCCGACACCCAGTTTTGATGGGAAGCAGGTATTCAAGCACGTTTTCTTCATCCCTCATTCAGTCTGCTCTACGTGCACTGCATATACCTTGACCCGTCTTCACTTCCACTGTGGTCCACAGTACATCACGTGATTGGTAATAAACAGGGATCCGGCAGCAATAAATTAAAAATGGATTTCCCTTGGAGTGGCTGGCCGGGTGTTATTTATAGCCATGGGTTTCCATAGTTAATATTAACTATGGGGTTTCGAATTCTTTTGTGCGAATGCATGCTGGTTTACGGTTCGGCCTTCGGCCTCAAGGACGGCGCTTCGCGCCGTAAATAAAGTACAAGAATGAGTAAATCCAGCTTCTGGTTCCCAGGGTATCTAATACATAAAAAATTATTAAAATTAATTATTAAAATAGTTGAAATCATGGCTGCCATAATGGAGTCATATTACAGCCAACGAAGTGCTCCGCATGTGATTTGTAGCTTTGGGCTTCCTGTGTAATAACTATTAATTACTATTATCATTTACAACAGCTCCAATAACTCGATAAATGTACCGAAAACCTTTTACCGAATAAACTTATAATAGGAGAATATATATTTTACTGCCAAGTTCGACCAAGCAAGMCRCGTCCTTWAACCTCGGATTTCACTCGGAGAACTGTCGGAAGTAGGTGGCCAGTCCCCGCTGTGTTTTCTCATCTCTGGAGAGAGTATTCATTGGTCTGATCTTCATTGAATCTCAGTGATGTTGAAATACATACCACCAATCTGAGACTTTGATCTGAAAATTTRATTTGGCWCAAGGTTTACRCCAAGCTCATAAAATGGGMAAAGACTATTACAAGGTTTTAGAAATCCCTCGAAATGCRACAGAGCAAGAAATCAAAAAAGCCTATAGAAAAATGGCTCTCAAATACCATCCAGACAAAAACAAGTCCCCAGGAGCCGAGGAAAAGTTCAAAGACATCGCCGAAGCTTATGAAGTGCTGAGTGACCCACAGAAACGTGAGGTGTTTGACAAATATGGTGAAGAAGGTCTGAAGGGAGTACCTCGTCAACCGTCGTCTGGAGGAGCGAATTTTCGAGAATTTCACTTTCCAGAGGGTTTCACTTCTTTCACCTTCCACGGCGACCCTAGGGCTACCTTTTCGAGCGTTTTTGGCGACGAAGACCCTTTCAAAGGTCAGTCATTTGTAAACAAACTCGGGAATTAGCTAATAAAACAGGGCTTGAGTGTTATTGACTAAATTAGGTGGTATCGTATGGCAAAATGTAAAAGTTTATAGTCTAAAAACATGGCTGTGGTTTGTGTATTTGTTTATGATGGTTTATAATATGGGTGTATTGTGGGAATGTTTTGGTGATCTCTGTGGTTCATCCTGGCATGATTTGGTGCATGAGCGAGGCTCGGTATCATGTACACTTCTTTGTTTCATTGTCAGCTGATCGATAGCTGTCATCCAGCTTCAGTGGGTCAAAGTACTAGAAATCAGTTTTATTAGCTCGATATGTTATCATCCTTTACTCCCTAAGAAAGGMATGACTAATGAGCAGTGGTTTGAATAACAAAGTGCATATGTAAACTAGCTCTTTCTCTTTCTTTTCTCATTTTACATTTTTCTYCATATTTAGCATATCATTAGCATATGAAGGGGAAGGAGGGGGAAACAGGGGGTTATTTTCATGTTAATTAGTGTTGGTGTTTCATGAATAGTTTACAAAATTTGCATCTACAGGTTGTAAACTATACTTAAATCCATTATTAATTTTGTTTTGTATTATTTTTTCAACAGATTTCTTCACAAGCTCTTTTGGCGAAGCTGGAGGGTCAGGCATACCAGGGTTGGGCGGTGGTTCATTTCAAGGCTTTAGTTCATTTCCTTCTAGTCGCATGGGGAGGCGTTCCTCCTCCTTTGAAGACATCCCATCAATGGTAACAAGAAGAAAAAAGAACCAAGATCCTCCCATTGAGAAAAACATCAACATCTCATTTGAAGAACTTTTGAAAGGAACACAGAAAAAGCTAAAGATAATGAGAAAAATACTAAACRCAGATGGACAGACAACAAGAAATGAGGAGAAGATACTCACTATTGAYGTGAAGAAAGGYTGGAAAGCAGGAACTAAAATAACATTTAAACAAGAAGGAGATCAAAGTCCAAACAGAATTCCTGCTGACATCATATTTATCATCCAAGACAAAGAACATCCTCATTTTAAACGTGATGCAGACAACAACATCTTGTACACAGCTAAGATATCCCTTAGAAAGGCTCTTACAGGGTTTTACRATGGTGGCTCAGTTCCAGTACCTACTCTTGATAACAGGACAATAAACATTCCCTTAAATGACATTGTAAAACCTGGTACGAGAAAGAGGATTAAATCAGAAGGGTTACCAGTGCCAAAACGATCAGGACAGAGGGCAGATCTTATGGTTACATTTGAGGTTGTGTTTCCCACCAGTTTGACAAAGGAAAGTGTTGATGCTATAGAGAGGGCTTTGCCTCCTTGAAGTTACAATCCGCTGAAGTGTTTGATTGGATGGATAAGTTGAATAAGGTTAATGTGCAGAAAAAAAGACATTAATACAGTTCTCAATGGTCKGTAGTAGTGTGACTTTGGTTAACCCATAGTTTAACTACTAGCAGTAGACTGACTAATTGGTTAACCATTCTGATAACGATGATCCAAACTTCATGACAAAAGGTTAAAGTATGGTAGTTTATTTAAAATAGTTCTGGAAAATGCATTTTTGTGTAATATCTAAGTTTATTTAAATACCTTATCAATTTGTGCTAGTTAAGTTGGGCTAATGATTAGAAAGGCTGGGGTCATATCAGCACTMRGCACCARAAYAAACTTGGACAAAATTCATTTGCATMAAGAGACGCKCCCCTSATGACAAATGCTCAAAAACACCTCTAATGATAATTATTCCTTGATATGGAAGGTATTTATATGGCTTTTGCAAGACTCTGCTCAAGTGTGACTGACCACTCAGTCTTGGCACTGTTCATAGAATGCAAGAGAAAATAAATTTTGGCAGAAGAAATTAATGTATGGGTTTATTTTGCAAGACATGAATTTGCATTAATCATTAACACATTCATAAGGACTTCAGTTTTAATTGGCAATCTGCAGTGATGTCTTTTTCTGCGGCAAGGTATGATGGCAGTTGTGGTCCTCAGGCTCGTTTTAGACCTTGAAATATCTCCCAAAAAAGCCTTTTTAACTCGTTCTTTGTAGAAATGGCAAAACTRCTTCAATTTTGGCTTAGAAATAGCCAAACATTTCAGAAGGACTGTTTTAGCAGACATGGACTACAACTAATGAATTGCTGCACAAAATGGAATTACTTCACATTGTCTATCAAACCATTTAGTAAGTTAACTTATTTTGAGTAATGAAAGGTATGTTAATAAAACTGCTAGATTAACAGAGTCAGTCATGTAAATGGTATAGATCCAAACATTGTAATTGGATGTTATTTGTGAAGTGTAAACATCAAAGGCTAATGAATATTTTAATATTATAAGTGGGCTATTTGAATGAAGACGTACGAAAACATTAGGAAGACATGTCATGGCTTTGAGTCCTTATTTTGACCTGCGGAAAGCCTTGTGACGCAATGCAATTGGGTTTGATAAATGAGTAAAAGGGGAGCAACGATGTCAGTGCTCCAGTTGTCTGTGATGCAGGCTCAGTTTTCGAAAAATATTAGAAATATTGACATTTTAGTTGATCTCAAAAGCATACTGCAAAAAAAAAAAACATCAAACAACTTACAGCAAGAAAAACCTCCAAAAAATGTACAATTAATTAATCGATAACTTCCATTTATTAGGCAAATCAAGAAAATGAACTGACAAACATTTTGTCTGTGGAAAGATCGAAACTAATTAGTGCTTTTACGATTTGATGAAGAAAGAGATTTATATCCCATGACACATTGCAAACCGATTCAAAATGGCGGGCTTGTAATATRCTTATAGATATAAAAGATGTGTATTTTATTTAATAATAATCATATGATCTGTGTCCTCAGATGTAGGACGTACAGTAGGTCTTAAGGACACTTCTCGTACGTACTATATGGGAGATGGGTGAGATTAATAACGAATTGTTTAGTATTCCCGCCAATTTTTATTTTTTTCGCGCCCCTTCGCTTTGGTTTTCCCGCTCTTTTTGTATGAACCAATCGGATTAATTCATATGACGTCAKGCTAAAGCACTTTTTCATTGACCCCGCCGTGTGTGTGTAGTTTCTGGCGAACCAAGAAGACTGACTCGGTGTTTTTCAGTGAATTTCGCTATATATTTAAATAAAAAAGGTGCTGAGAAGGTTGATGCCATATCTAAAGGTTAGTATTATCCATATATAATTATTTTTTTTGTAAATGAGGCTCATTTCCAGCCTTAAATTCTGATTGTTCACAACAAAAATTTAGAAAGTTATGAGAAAGAAGTGTGACTGAAAAGAAATTGCTTATAATAAGTCTTATTTTTGTATACGGCAACCAATGGGTATGTGTTTTTGATTTTTATTGCTGCTCTTTCTTTTAGGTTGAAAGCACCGTAATATCTTTTTCAATCACACTGACAACTGTCTTTTGTCTTTTGCTTGTTGTTGTTTTTCGTTTTTCTTG